GTTGATTTGTTTTTTACTTTCGATATCTTCCTTAGGGTGTTTTATGGATGATTATAGGTAATATTTAACGAGAATGAAATTGCTTCCCATTTCCATATTTATTCGTAAACGTAACGTCCCACTTACTTGGAATACTGATTTTCAGATTTTTCATCTCTTGCCCAATCAAACATTTTCAAGTACTCACGACGTTACAGCTTTACCTTTTTCCTACGGCCCTTAAGATCTTTTCGGAGGCCTGCTTCAACATCTGCGCTACCTGTTACTGCCATCTAGATATTTCAACAAGTTAATTATTTATTTTTGTTTTAAAACAACATTATGTCTATTAGTCGCATAACCTATTCGGGTGAATTTCTAAAAAGTGTGCAACCTTTCGTTGTACAAGTTACAAAAGGCCCAATCAGAGATATTGTGGTTGCTGGCAATATGCAACGAAAAGAATGTACATTTTTTTCGATACTGATGTACTGAACTACTGACATTTAACTGGCAATCACTTAATATTTATTGTCAGTGTCGACCAAGAAGTAAGAAACGGAAACTTGTTGAAATACTTTGTGCTGAGAATTCTATATTGTACCCAAAATATAATATTGAATAAAGCTAATAATAATAATAATTAATTTCCTAAAGATAACTCAGTGCTCACACGGTCTATGACTCTAAATTGCTCTAACTTCTGATCATTAATTTTCCTTGTATAAATTACTTCACACTATCAGTGTCTTTTTAACAAATGTTCTTTCAAAACAACTTATTAATAGCGTATTTGAAAGTATATTCACACTGGCATTTTTAATGTTGCAACTGTTGCTTGACGCTTGATAGTACTACTTTATTACTATCTCCGTTTACATTACAGCTCAGGTTTAGTTTATTGGAACAGTGAACGCTACAAAGTTGGTCACATTTTGGTAAACATAACTTTGTATGTCGTATGTGATGGAAGTTCATTTGACGTAGAAGCTGTAAAAAAATGATGTAGCTTAATGGTTAGTAATAAATTTTGGTTTTCAACGTGTAAATTGAGGTGTTATTTGAAAATTGTTTGTTAAATGGTGACAAAACTGTTCAGATTTTGAAAATACATAGTTTTTCTAATCCAATAACTCATTAGAGTTGTCGTATAAAGTAAGATGTTTATGTTTCACAATATTGTATATTGTCTGGTTGTACTCTAATACTGTTTTATAACATCTTCTACTCAATCTGATATTAAATAAAAAGAAAAATTTAAAAAAAACAGGTAACGAAACAAACTAAACGACTTCTATTCAAAATATTTTCTGACAGAAAAAGAAACAACTTCGATTTTCAGGTTTTCAGATGCAGTTAAATAATTTTTTTTTTAAAGTCCAGATGATACAAACATTCAAATTGAGGAAATTGTTACCACGCAATATTCAAAAGAAATATAGAATAAAAAATATTCGTCCAAACAACTCTGAACACTTTGTAATATAGAATTAACGACGCTACATTACTATTAACGTTTCAAATATTCAGAGGAGAAATCAATAAATGAAGGATAACAAAAATTTCGTTAATGCAACTTCAATAAGAGTTAATCTTGGTGAATCTTTATCGATAAACTCAGTAATCTACGAAATTTGAAAATTAGTGAAGTTACAATAATCGAAAAAAGTTAAAGTTTCTAGGATGATTTACTAAAACTCTTGTAATATAACTTGTTTCTAATCCAGTTCATCTAATCTTTCTACGCAATATAGCAAATACATACTCAGTCGGAATCTTATAATTTATTTATTCAGCGTAGAATATCTCAGTAGCAAGTTAAGAACAAAACATACTCTACATCTATATATATATATGTATTGAATGTGACGATGAAAACTTTATTCAAACAAAATTATCATCTTTTTTTCAAAATATCAAAGTAAGTTACAATTTCGTATGATAAAACATTAGTTCAATGGCGGAACATTTTGTGGTAGTTTAATTTAAATTTTTAAAATATCAAATTTATTCTCTAATAGTTCCCATTGATGATTTATTTTATAATAGTTTATAAAAAATAGAAATATAAGCAAAACATATACACTTTTATAGAATCAGTATGAAAATCAGAGGAAATTTAGTTATTGCATATATATTAATTAAAAGTTATTCATTAATTGTAATAAAACTAGTTATTTACAATGATCTTCCATGATGAAAAGGCGAAGATAAATTCAGATTGTTAAATTTCTGGAAGTCATTGCTATTCATCCGAACAGTTCACTACAAATTGGAAGAAAAACAAAAAGAAATAAAGTGACTGTGGTACTACTAGAAAAAGCATTAAATTGGCAACAAACTAATCATTGTTTAATAAATCAAGACATTAATTAATAAAATTTATTCCACCTGTTCTTAGGTAGAATTCATGAAATAAACTTGAAAACGTATCGTGAAGTAATTGGTTTCAAGTTATAGGATAGTGTTCACATCAATTTGGCTAATAAATAACTGTATAGTTATCATCTAAAGTGTTGTATTATTGACAAATTTACAAACACAAATTCTTAAAGTTCACTTTGAATTTATTAAATCATCCGGATAAATCTGCTTTTAAAAACTTTACACAGTGTTAAACAAAACAAGATTTCTAGGCAAACAATATTGTTTATATATGTGAACAATATTAAACTAGTCAGTTTAGTTTGTTGGTTAATGTTAACAGTGAAAAGGATTATATTGTAAATTCATAGTAAGTTAATAAGTACAGTAGAAAATATTAGGAATAACAAATAGTATAATAACAGGGAAAAATATATTGACGAACATGTAACTGAAGGCTCGAAGAGATTAACTTAATAACATGACAATCATTTAAGATTGTTGGATAGAAAATGTTTAAATAGTCAGTTTAAGCACCGATATGGTAAATAAGAGAAAGTAGACAAACAAATGGTTTTCTCGGGAGATATAATAAATTAGTTGTAATCATAGAGAATAGAGCTGTCGATCCGAATTCTAAAGCTTTGTTTATATGCAAGAGGTAAAAACAAACTATATTTCAGAATTCTAAAGATACTTGGAAAACTAGTTTAAATGTTTTAGTTCAATTAACTTTATGACCACTATCAAACAGGTGACAAATAACTGAGGTATGTACTGGTTTTATCTGACCTCTAAACTACGAATAGAGGTGTTCGCTAACTCATTTGATACATTGTCTGATCGTATACCCAAAATAACCTTCTCCAGGAAAGCTGCTGAATTGATATGCTGATTGGAATTGGTTACCCATACGGTTTTCTGATGAGGGGTATATATAAAGCGGAAAACATGACAGTCACAAAGGTTGTTATTAAGAAACCTATCTTCTTGAACTTGTAAATTAGTAAAAATAAACCTGGTCCTATCCTACACAGTAGACAACTGAGAAAGGTGTAGTCATTTTGGTGTAGCTTATTGCTGTTTATATCATCACCTCGGTATAAATTTGCAATTTTGCTTATTATGATCGGTTACATAATTTCTTACGCTGTTATTATAGATTCATTAATGACCTTAACTAGTTTAATGTCAATCATATATACATAAATATAACCGTATATTAGAATATTTGTGATGAAGATGTAATTGAAAAATACGGTTTTGTTGTAGATATGCAAATCACGTCTATTGTCATACAAATTAAGCACAGATATGAATCAGCAATGTAAATAAACTCACGTGTATAAAAAATTCTCAATAAATACGATTTCTGCTACTAAAATTACATAAAATAATTGTAGGATCTTCGTTTCTAATTATTAATAAATGCGACTAATCATTGTAGTGAAAGCGTCATTGTATATAATATAAGGTTGGCTTTCATTACACGTTTGTTCCACACGCTTGAGTAAACGTTTGACAAACACGTTCATTTTAAAAGCAGTTATATGTTTTAAAATTTCGTTTTCTTTTTCCTTTAAATTCCTCATTGTTAAGCATGACGCAGTCATACTACAAATTGCATATTTCACACAAACTCGTACATAGATGATTACTTTAAAACGTATCTCTTTTATAATCAACATTATCTTGAATATTTATACGTATATGTATTACACACCAAAAATTACGATGTCTTAAGTATAAAGTACAATAGTGCCATTTTCGCACTGCTATACAATGGGACAATCACTTATCTGGTAATTCCAACTTCTCATTACAACTAATAATAATCAGTCCGATGTTGGTATGAATGAAAATGTCTCAAACATCTTATGGAGATTTGAGAAACAATATGTCACTTATGTTCCGTTCTTAGTAAAATACTAATATTATGGATTAGTGGCTTTCTAGTTTATTAATGAAAGAATGAACATCATGTCAAGAATATGAATAATGGAATTCGATAGTCTGTGCTGTCAAACAACATAGGTGACTTGTTGAAAATAAGCACGTAGTACATATCATGACAAGATTTTATTCAATAGTAAGTGAAAAGATGCGCTGTCTAGACCATATTATTGTAGGTCGGTATACCGACTATTAAGTAGATCAACTAAATTTTCAGCCTCGCTGTTCGAGACAAACGTAAGGGATTACATGATTGGAATAATAAGAATAGCAAGTTGTTAATAAATTCAAAAAACTGACACATTGACTGAACATAGACTCTTCATTCGACATTTAGAAATCGACCATTCGATTGGTTATAGAGGTATGTTATTATTATTTTACTCCCACCTTTTATGTTAACCTTTATCAAAATACTTGTTTCTTTTGATCATCATTTGAAAGTCCATTTTATCGAAATGTGCCGTTTTAGATCATGAAGGTTATCAAATGTCATTTTTCGGACTCCACTGTTCGCTGTTTTTGTGATGTCCACAACATCCACTTTGACTTGATGTTCACTTTCGGAATTTTTATTTCGTTTATTTATTTGCATTTGTGTCGTAATTAAAATGTAATTCGGGGATCATCTGTCAATCAGAATTTAATTTGTGATATTTACAATAAAAATACAAGCTAGTAAATACAAAATTAAATTTTTATCCTTACCGAGCTATTCGAACAATTATCATGGATGTAAGAAGAATTACTAGTAGACAGACTCCACCAAGTATATATACCGCCCAGTTCAACAACTTCTTGTTGCCTTGAACCTTTTGAAATAATGTTTCTAATGTTTCTACTGGAGGATATATTTCCTGGAAAACCAATAACAAGTGACACATTTTAAGGGCATTTTTTGATTCACATATTTCCTGCAAATTCTAATTTCATTCAAAATATACTACATTTAATAGAAGTTACCATTACAAATATTATGTTGAAATCCTGATTATGAACGTCATGAAGTTTATACGTAAAATAATTCGATTTGCGAATGCTTGTAGGACGCATTTTTCATCTTATCTGTGTCTTGTCAGGTGAATGTGCCCTAGGTTTTCGTTCTGATTATCATGCAAAAAACCCATTCTTCACATGGTGTTGTATAATAACATGACCTTACAAGTAATGCTCCATAAAAAATACCGCGTGCTTGCGTAATGTAAAATGCTTTCCTTGAAATATAAGTCCCATGTCGTTATTTCGTCTAACTTCTCTGAACTATTAACTATTTTTTTAATGCCTATCAATATATTTTCCTTCTTCGTAAATAACCAAATCGATAGAATGTTAGTCAAATTTTACTTCGGAGATAACAGAATTTACTAGTCAGTAGTAAAAATGGTTCCTCATCAACCGTCTCCTATATTTATTCATCATAGAGTTTAGCAAAAGAGTTTTAGATAATGATTGTTCAATTATTTTCTTTTATTTACTAGACTTTTCACTAACAAATTTTATTACACGTGGAAGACAGATATTAATGTCTACTGAAATAGTGTATAAAAAGAAAGATATAGTTTAAACGAGAAATTTCAAATTTCAATAACCTTAACACCTAAATATCAGTTAATGCACCATGATTGTAAGATGTTGTGCTGACTAGCGATGTTTACAAACATTCTGTATAAAGGCATAAAATTTAAGGTTAATAATAGTGATATAGAATGAGGTTGATTGCTTAATAAATTATTTTTGTAACCGACATCTTTTACTTTGACAGAAATCTGAATAAATAATCTAGTTGACAATAAGTGTCTAACTAGTCACTTTGAAATCAATGTAGCTAGCTAAGTTAATTGCATCTGGCTTTTATATTTATAGTTTGTATATTAACATTACAAAAATAAGCTGCATAACATTCACTTTTTAGTTCAAGAACCACCGGTGCATTATTTGAAATTCTATTGATATGAAATGGATTTGATTAAACTACCAGTTGATTATCACATATAAATCATTAATCCTACAAGTATGAAGAGTTTTAATTAACTACAAATACAAGCGGAAATTCATCAGATCCAATTTATTCATGTAGTAATGATATTTCGCATATTAAGAGATTCATTATTTGTAAATATTCCCTGAGACAAAGTTTACACATTGAAGTAGTATAAGATTTCTGTGTCATACATTTTTACACTGAAAGGATTTTATGCCCCTCAGATGTATATCAAACAGTTATAATTTATATTATTTCCCTTAACATCTTTTTTCACGTATGTCTGTGTAGGTATGTGTTTAATTCAATATAATAACTAAATGCAAAGTATTAGGATGTTTTTAACACAGTTCTTTGGAACGCACATTAACAATTCTGATAATAGGGAAGAAATAGGGACCCCTCATCATTTTGAACGGCATACTTCTAAATAAATGAATAAACAGAAAGTAAAATTGAAAATAAATACCAAATATTTATGAAAGTTCCTCACAAGCTGATTGTTCTATAAATTCATCGTAATCAAACACAAACTAATTTCGACAAGCTTAGTATTATTCAAGATTTATTTTAGTATAAACCATGTAATGAGAAATAGATTAGTCACATGTAAATTGGCGCAAGCTGATACAAACTATACTTAGGTCTCCAAATAAAATGAATTCGCTTATTTCAGATAATGACAAATATGTATTTTTACTCAAATAGTTTGTAATTAAAGATAACGATCAAATTGGTAAGACTGATTTTTTTTTGGAGCAAATATTCGACTTTCATCGATTGCTTATAGTCTTACGAATGAGATGCTGGTTTACAGATATCTTTTTGAAGTTAAAGCTATTGCTTTAAATGATTTAATGATGCAAGACTAGAGATAACTGAAACAGCCAGTGCTCAAATCTTTCGCTAAGATGAGATTATTGTGAGGTTAATTGATTTAAAATCAACACTACTCTTTAAATCCTCACTGTTCTCCAAAGCATCATGTTTTCGAGCGTTTTACGAGTTAAGGCAAATATTTTAATTGATATTCATTTTATCAATAACCAATATCATTGACATCACTGTTAACTCAGTAATTCATATCGGTGATCGCAGTCATAAATTTATTTATTCTATTTTCTTTGCTCATATCTATAAAACAAAGTACTTTCGCTCAGGATATGCTTAGAGGTATACTAAAGTGAAATATAATGTTCCGTCATATAGATTATAGTATTTTAAATGCTTTTCCAGATGGGAAATAAAATTCGAATAATTTTTTCCCTATGCTTGGAAGTTTAGCCTTTTCAATAAGGAAATGATCCTAATCAAAATGTTAAGGGAATAAACTTTTAACTTATAGATAAATATTCATACATATAAAACTGCAGTTGTGAAAAAGTAAATCAATAATGTTATTTATGCTTACGATCTCTTTTCATTGTCTATATAAAAATTGATCTGCATGGACTGATGAGCTCCCAGAGCAAGTCCAGTCACCTAAATATGTATCAGAAGGTAATTAATAAAATTATACAAACTATTATGAGTATTAAGTTAAATAAACTTAAAATAATAAACTTTTGTTTATATTTGTTATTTTAGAAAAGAAAAAATATTAATAAAAGTTTATAAGAAAATCAGCATAATACAATCATGATTTTAACGTTTAAATGTCAACTAAATTATATTTCAGTTTTTTTTAATTAATTTCAAAAGAATTATTAGAGATCACTTTCTCACTAAGACGATTGATTTTCGTAATATATTGTGATGCTTGAATGAAATAATGATACCATTGTATTTGTTGAATGCTTGATTTCGAATTCTAAATACAATACATTCGTTTGTGCCTATCTACTACTTCTTGATCTGATTACCTTATTTCTGGGGTTCCTAGTTCATACTACAATTCAAAACATCAAATTGGCGTCGCGATGGAGCCTGTAATGGAATTGTTGGATGTACATTCAGAGCTTGATGCTTTTGAGGATTATTTTGAAAGGTTCGAAATCTGGGCTATGACCAAGGAAGATGCTGAGGATGTTAATATTGTGGTACATTTCCTCACATTCATCGGAAAAGAAGTATACAGCTTATTAAGAACTCTGGCTATGCCGGAAAAACCTATCTCGCTTCCTTATACAACTCTCAAGGAACTGCTGCTAGACTATGTTAAGTATACAAATTTCGAACGCAATAAAGGAAGATTTTGTAAGGTGATTCATGAGGATATAAAAAATTCCACTACATTACTACGTCATCCCAACCCAGTGCATACTCAAGGCTATGCAAATAATTTATTGAGGAGTTGCAATGCATTTTACGAAGATGGGCACAAGTTTGGTCAATGCTTGTCCTGTGGCAGGTTCCACTTTTTTAATTCATGTAAATTTCGTAATTCTAAGTGCTCTAAATGTGGTGATATTGGACATATTCAGTCAGTTTGTAATACTACTGTTCATCTTGCTGCAACTAATATTAAGTCTTGTAATTCTGATTCTACTGAGTCGAGTATTTATAATGATCATTTATCTTTATCAACGATTTCAAAAGACAGTGTAGAGTCATATAGCAGTTCAGAGTTAAATGAAACTCAGAATCCTTGTGAGACAACGGTTTCTAATCGATTAATTTGTCAGAATTCTCATGTTATTGTACCAAATATGGCTTTTCCTAATAATTCATACATTTCGGATGAGATTTCTTACAAATCTGAAGAAAATATGTTTAGTGAACATAATTATGATCGAAAACCTGATGTAGTTTTGATAGATGCTAATTTTTATAATGATCCTTTACTCTGTAATGACATTCTTAATAAATTTGAGGAAACTATTTCAGAAGAATCAAATCTTGATGTCATATTAAATATTATTTGTCCTCATAATGCATTTGTTTCTTGTGGGAAACTTGTTCAGTGCGAACCACAAGTACTAAATGAGCTCGAGTTTGATTACAATTCGGATGATTTCATATCAACTGCTGTTTACCCTTATCACAAAAACAGTTCTAATGTTTACTCTAACCAATGTGAGAAATATGTTTTAAATGAAGTCACGTCATTCATAAATTGGGGATATAAGGATCCAGCATTATTTCGTGGGGGAGGATAGTAATGAAAAATCTATGGTTCGAATTCTAGATATTAATTATTTCAGTACAAAACCGACATGCTGATTGTATACAATCCTAGGAAGCAGGTGAGTCTGTCCTGATTTCATTTGTTAATTCCAATACTAATGAGCACATTCTAGATACTACAGAGGTTTTATCCAATACAATGTCGGACAGACACAGGATGAACTTAAGAAGAAGACGTTCAACCTATTACAGACAATTATATTCCAATATAAGCTGTGGTAGATGTGGTGTTTGAATTAACTAATGATTCTTTTGTACTTGTTGAATGCTCGATTTCGAATTTTAAATACAATACATTCGCTTGTGCTCATTTACTATTTCTTAATTCATTTGCGTTATTTCGTGGATTCTTAGTTTATACCACAATTCAAATAATTCGAAACATTAAATATATTTTAACTGTAAAGTTCTTTTATTGTGATCTTATAATTACTGAAGATATAATCGCTCAATATTAAGCAGATTTCAAGTAATTCTGTACTCAAACTAATTTGAAATAATTTAGAAACAATAACTTATATGTGACTAATTTGATAGCCGTCAACAATCTTAATAACTAGAAAATATTTAATAGAAATCGTATTGTTGATTAATATTTGAGTTCCGATTATCTTTCATTTAAGTTACAATGAAACTGACAAATGTTATTCGAAAGTGTTTGGTGTTTCTCTGTTGATATCACTGAGGATTGTATTTGGTCATTCTTTATTTAACTGAGTACTTCAACTGATGTCGTTATGTATTATTTTTAGTCAATAAGTTTTACATATTTTTAATTTTCTTTCATTGAAGACTAATCAATTACATATACCTTTTTCACACTGTAGACATTTATTCAGGTTCATGAACCGTGTACTTGTTCGGTCAAACATAAGAGTTATGATTGCTGAGAACATGTTCATATGATTTAGTACTTATTAATATTCAAAAAAATTGTAACTACCATCGACGTTGACAATTTGTATGTTAGATTAGTGCATACTAGGTAACCTCAAAAATGATTATTTTCTGTCGAAAAACAACTTGAGAATGTATTAAGAAGCATCCAGAATTTAGATGATAAACTATTGTGCTGATAAATCTAAATTACTCCCCTAACATATAATCAGCACAGTGGTAAGGAATGGCTACAATGTATATCCAGCAAACTGAACGTGAACCCAAGGGATTGTTATACAAAAGTCGAAACTGTTTAATCTCATTTATACGACGCAATAAACTATTACGATAACAAATAATTAACACTAGGATAAATTAACTTATTAACAACATTCATTACTTACGGGATCTACATACAAAACGGTATTGTCATCAACTTCATCTGGCTCACTTATGCCACCAAACTGATTTCTGATTTTAGGATCCGCACCAGCAAAATGACCTTGTGAACCGTATAAAGGCATATAGTTGTCGGACTCTAAACATGGAGAAAAAGAAACAAAACCTTTTGGTGCACACTTTGGTTCGTAAGGCTGGCCTTGACAAAACTCCGAAGGTGATGGGTAAATACTAGAGTTCTCTTCAACTTCTACCGGCGCAAATAGTAAAACCTAAATGTCATTGGCAAAGCGATGAAATATAAAAACAAAAAAGTATATATATATATATATATATAGAATTGTTTCTTCCTAAAAGAACATAAATGTCTCAGCATCACTATTGTTACATTCTTATTAATATTTTTCATATAATCTGGAGATATAAATAGTTACATAATAATAAGCTGTGATTAGATATTCAGTTGAGTCAGTTATCCAGATAATGTATCACTGCTACCCTCATTTGTTCCAGTTAGGAAATTTACTTAACTACTCACATTAAAACGTTTATTAGCACTTGATAAGAATAATCTTCTGAAGATGTCTCCTGGAAACAGAATAAAGTGCGAAGATCAAGATAGTTACTCTAAGAATTCCATCAAAACGGCTTTTGAATCTGAGATGTGTTGAATATCAGAATAATTAGTCCATATTCAATATCATTTCAAGAAGTTTCGTTTTGAGAAATAAGGTATTCGCCACCAAACCATTGTCCGTTAATGGTACATTCAGATGAGGTACTCACAGGTCAGGTGGAGTCATCCGAACACTGGCTAAATCACCATTAAGGATCCAGAAGTAGGCTAACCAGTGCCAGCATGGATGGCTTTTATACCAAGAAAAATTTTGTGTAAAACTTTTAATGCATGATAAGTCAACTTAACAAATAATAATTTTGAAACCTTTGACCATCCTTATGATGCAAATGAAGAATCTTAAGTTTCCCCATTAGTTGTGGCTATATGATTAGGAGCTATGAAATTCATAATTATATCCTAGAAGTTCTTCCGTCTCCCGAATGTAATGTAGTGTAATGAAGGTAAACTAAAATTTGCCTTGATGCAAACATGCAGTTATTTAAAAAAACGTGCGAGTTCATGTAGCAATCCTATTTCAATAATAACAGTATAAAAAAGGCAGGATATTTTCACACCTGTAATTTTGAAAATTTAGGATGTGGCACTAGTTTTTTTGCCTCCATTATTACTGAGCGACAAATACCCGGAACAAAAACGTGCCTCCGTGCACCAACACTGAGATCGAAGCCTATGAATGCCCCTTCTAAAAATGTAACAAAAGAAAAGTCTTATAAGACGATAAATACACTTTTTCTTTTGTTTCTTTATTTTTGTGCGATCAAACTGTCAATATATTTACATTTAATCTAATTAAAAGTCAATAATCAACGCACTGCTGAACGTTCAGTAATTATCTTTACGATGACAAACCGTGGAAGCGTAACAAAGGAGAGCATCTTATTTATTGCCCATTATAATATGTACGACTGAGTTTACCAAATGTGGGTATCCCGTTTATATTTACTATGATACATGAAGGCTTAAGATTTTATCTGAATTTTATTTAGAAATAGAATACTGCTGCGTAGCGGATGTAAAATGTAAACATGTCAAATAAATGTATTTCTTTCTTTAAACTAACAGAATTAGTTCAAGTGACCTTAAAATGTAATACTGAGATATATAAGCTTATAGTTATTTTAGATGTTAGACCTTAACACCGTTGGCTGCCGGCTCAGTGGTCTAATGGTTAAGCTCTCGCGCGCGAGACTGATAGGTTCTGAGTTTGAATCTCGCGTGAGGTGGGATCGTGAATGCGCACTGCTGAGATGTCCCATCCTAGGACGAAACGGCCATCCAGTGCCTCCAGGTTTTCCATGGTGGTCTAGCTTCAATTGACTGATGATTTCATTTATTTAAAATATATTGTTAGACAAAAAATGAGGAGTGGCTGCGCAATATCGTGGATTGATTGAATTTAGACATTAACACCGTTAGATCCCAGCTCAGTAATTTATAGTCGTAGTGTTCGCGTGCAAGATCGAAGATTCTGGGTTCGAATCTCGCATGAAGGGTCGTGGGTGCTCACTCCCAAGGAGTCCAACACTTGGGTGAAATCGCCATCCAGTTTGTCCGGGTCTTTAATGGTAGGCTAAAACTGATCGATCCATAATCTTAATTGAGGGAAAAATAATCTTTCTATTTAAAATTGAAAGATTTGTTTTGTAAGATTTAAGCATCTAGGCTTAACAATTGGTTCATTGAAGGGGTTCAGTTGATTATTCTTAAATATAGGATGAATACATCCTTGAGGAAAAGTGCAAAGTTTGATAACTATTAAGTTGTGTTACCAAGTTTAATATTCATGGGTGCTGTCTCTGACATTTATCACTGGAAACAGTGATTAGTAAATGACGCCTAACACAGATGGATAATGTATACAAATTGAAGTCAGTGATTCAGCTTCACTGTATAGTTGCCATTGATAGCAATCACTCACAGTTTATTGCAATAACCCAGTAATAAATTGTTAAATGATTACAGAATCAACATCAAACATCACAAAATCGTTATTTCATCTTGAAACAAATACTAAAGTAGTTTAATAATAAGTTTAATTTCCTCACCACTTCCATTAATCATATTCGCATATTTACTTTTCCATACGTTAAGTTCTCTGTTACAAAATTACAGAAATAAAAAACTGTTATTTAAGCTTTCTTAGTATTACAATTTAAGTAGAGATTGGTCCAGCATATTATTAATTTTCTTTAATACCTCAAAGTTAAGATTTTCAATAAAACATTTAACTTCAATTAATCATAGACATTTTTCATGTGTAAATAATGTCTGAGCAGTTTTGTTGCTATACGATCCGTGTTAGATAAATGTAGAATTATTGAAGTATTTACCAGTTGAGTACCTTAATCTTAAACTTTATTATGTAAATATTTGGAATTGAAATAAAATACAGTATTTAATTGCACAGTCTTCCTACATACCGCAATTTACAATTGTTTTTATTCTTCAGAAAAATGCATCTTCTTGTTGAAGTATGACGTCTATTAAGTATTTATGAAATAGACTGAAGCTTTTTTAAACTAACTAATTAAATTTGTACCCCAATCTCTCAAATATATATAAACTTTGTGCTTTCTAGAATCTAAGATTCCACTAAAGTAATAATTTATCGAACTAATAGATACTAATATACAATTGGGAAATGTTTTACTTTTCTCCTTGGAATTCTTCAACCTTTCCTCTTTCATTTATATCGTCGACACCTGTTTTGAGCAAAAATTCTTCAGTGTTAGTGCCGTTCTCCTGAAAGTAATAAAACTTAATTTTTACAAGGACTACAGTAATTACATCAATCGTGGAGTAGAACATTTAAAGAAGAAATGTCCTTCATATGTTAATAAAATGATATTCAAATAAGTTATAAACACTATTGAAGTTTCTTAAATGTTATATTTTAATATTTCTCGTAAGAAACAATAACTCACTGTCTTATAAAAAGTTTGAAAAGAGAATTAAATACACTAAACCAAAACTTGTAGAGGATTTCTACTCCATTTGGTTTACAATCATTCACTACGGGCTAGCTAAGCAATATGAAAATCACAGCTCAATGGTTTGTCGATCTCAAAACACTTTGATATTCAAGAAGAAGTGAAGATAGTTCAGAGAAGAAAACTTTCTTTTCGACAATTTCATCGACTGAAGCTGCATAATTTTACGATTAATCGGAATACATAAATCCATAAAAAATGAAAATGTCTTTGAAGGAATATATTACTGTCGCTTTTTTTAAACTACACACTAATATTCAGATATTACGACATATTTCGGTCATTTTGGGCAAAATTGTCACAATTTAGGAAACAACCGTGACTGTCATTATCACGTGCTAATACGAGTCCTGTAACTGATTTTCAAGTCCTTTAACCAAATAATTGACCATTCAATCTAAAAGTAGTAGTGTTTGTATGATCTCCTCAATTCTGAAGTTTACACATCCTTCTGTTAACTACGCATTTAAAACCTATTCTTGTTATCACCAACTATAGCTTTACCCTGTTGTTGAATAAACCTAGTTCCCTCAGTTCCTGTAGTTATAAGCGACAAACTCACTTTGACAAATACAGATATTTTTTTAGGGCATTTGCCGAATTTGTAACATGATTCAATGTTTTCATGTGTATAACCCCATAATATTTCGTTTGGCGTTTTTGTGACGAAGGGTTTGGTTGTTCTGTAATAACTCTCAGTGAAGACACTTTTTTCCTGTAATATTATCCCCTAAAATCAATGTAAAACAAAGTGTACATTTTTGTTTGTTCAGAAAGGTATAATAAAATGACTGACTCTTTATAAATATATCGTTGAACGAACAATCAATTACTTGTGAAAAATGAAAAGAAGGGACAACGGATTAATTTCCGATAATTATTCTAATTATTAAAATAAGTTAACACAAAGTTGGTCGTAGATAACACTGAATCATTTATCGTAACACTACGAAATGAGCAAATCAAAATACATTAACAAAATATATATTATTTAGTCAGGTCTCGTATACTGTTCTTGTTAACCAGTACAATTATTTATATCCTGATTTTATGTACATCTAAGTAAATCTAGCAGAAGGACTTAATTGCGGATTAAACGAAGATAAACTAGTACTTTAAATATTTTAAAAGCATCGGACTAATGTAAACCTGAAATGTGGGGTGATTTTAAATTTGTGTTGGTAGACTGTTTTCAGTAACCCCAATTATTGTTCATTTAAGTGTTTTCCAATTTCATTACTTTGATTGTTTAGTGCAATGCTAGAAAAATATTTCTGAACAAAAATAGGGACCAACAATCTATTAAAACATTAATTTTCCAATTACTTTCTGATGGTTAGAGCAAAAACTATAGTATCTTGTCATCTATCATATTTCACTTCATAATTTTTACAGAACGCCTGATGAATATGACAGAAAAGTCGTGATTCAATAATACTTAAGAATGAATCCATATCGTCTTCAGTATCTTGATTTTGTTACTTGACGCATACAC